AAATAACTATAGCTTGTAAATCCAAGCCATGTGGTCAAGAATTTATAGCTTTTCTATTCTTTATATGAGTTTATTTTGTGTGATTTTTCTATCCTGATGTTTTAGAACAAGTCTGAATAAAGAGACTTGCTATTTAGACATTTATGGCCTGGCACAATAGCAACACGGCATTAAAATATATATTTTAGAAGTAACCATAAAATCCATAAAACCTTGACAGATTTAGAGTATCAGGCAACACCAGTTCTTACAAGGTATGGATTATATGATAACCTCCTCTTGTTTAGTAATGGACAAACAAGGCAGTCTTCTAAAGCCTAGCTGGGTACATATACAGATATATACAGTCTCTTAAATTATTGCTCCAAAACCAAGTTACTAACTGAATCTGAAAAGAAATTGTTAACTAATATGATTTCAAGAAGGGGGGAAAAAGGGCCAGTAGCTCCCAAATGCGTTCTGGCAATAAAATCCTGAAAAAATGAAGTTTCCAAATTACGAATGAAGGTGAATATATGTGTCCCACGATAATGTTGTGGGATCCAATCTGAGTCAGTCACCGGGACCAGAGGTATAGTCTTCCGAGCTTTCGAATTCATGTTAGAGCCCATCCTCTGGGAACTTCTCTGTATGTTTTGGGCTGTTCTGTGTGTGGAACTTATATGGTGGCCGTTGTGTCTAGTTTTTTAGATGTAGATTGGGGTGTTTCCAAATTACTTTTACAGGCAGATCTACACGGAAATTCTATCAGTAGTCTGAGTGTAGTCAATGTATGTCAATTTACGGTAATCCCTTACTTCAAAGGATAGTTAGGAGTGCAGAAAAAAATCAATTGTAACTTGCCTGCTTTTCATTGGGAACTTGTATACTGCATGAGCCAAAAAAGGGATGGGAAAATATCTACACACCCTGAACATAAACTGTTTCAACATCTTCCCTCATTGCATGCCCAAACAACCAGACACAAAGAGTTTTCCCTCATGCTATCACTCTACTAAACATCTAATTCCCACTGTACTGTTAGATATTTACCCATGTAGTAGGGCTGTATGATATTACCCTTCTCATCTTCCACATCTTCTCATCTGTCTCATCTTTTCCACTACCTTCTGCTATTAGTATCTTATGATTTACCATTTGTTGTTTGTATCTCATGATTTATGATTGTATCTTATGATTTATGATCTATGACTTATCACTTTGTGTTTGTATGTACACTGAGAGTTTATGAACTAGAGAGAAATTCCTTGTGTATCCAATCACACTTGGCCAATAAATAATATTCTAATTTCAATTCTAATATTCCAGTTCAGCTTTCTCCAGATAGGGCTGCAGTTAGTTAATTCATCTAACTCTTTAAAATGCTTTCTAGGAACAATGGACATACCTTCTGCTCCATAGAAAGCATCAAGCTCAAGAGCCTTGACACTCTATTAAATCTCTGCAGAAGTCAAGGGATTAGGGACAAGTCTTTTGTCCCTAATAGGCAACCACTCCATTTTCAACAGCAACGAAAAATGCGTGAACTATTTTTTAAAAAGCTACTTAGAACTTGTGAAAATAGAAAAAAAGTAAACTTCCTTTAATTAGGACTACCATACCTGAAGCAACAATCTTCCAAGATTGCTGTTTGTCATGAATAGGAAATTTCACAGTAAAAGCAGGAAGTGATGAGGCTGTCCACCATACCAAAGTAAAAGTTATCACATTGCCAGGCAAATATTTCATGATTAAGAAAACCACAACTATCAGAATTTTTATCAGACATTGCATACAAGGTCTCTGAGGAAGACTATCAGGCATGTAATGTTCAGTCTTTATATTTTCTGCAAGATTTCCAATGACTATGTTTAAGTTTTCCTTATACTCACCAAATTCAGGAGGAGGGGGAATCCTAAGGTTAAAAAAATGTGTTCCTTGTGTTTTTTCTAGTGACGAGTTAAAAAGAGGGAATGCATTTGTGGGGGAAAGAAAGAGAAACTTACAAAAAAAAAGTTTCACTTCCATTTAGTTTTACACTTCTCTACTCTTAACTTGTAGAGCAAAAATATAATACTGTTCTTTGGTCACTGCAATAATAGAACCCCGAGAGAAGGAACTGATTTTAATAAAATCAAAGTTAACAGACTAGCAAATTCACTTAGTTTTACACTTCTGTATACCAGAACGTGGTTTTCAAACAGTAAAAATACTGCTTTGTTGAAAAAGATCCTCTGGATTCTGGTTATTTTCATAGGCATAGTTATATATAATTAAATCATAATTCTGAAAATGTAATCACACAATCATTTATTCTTTCTCATTCTCTAATCATTTCAAATCTTTGCAGACACTGAAAATGTTATTATCATTGCACATAAAACAACATAATTAAGATGTTCAGTTAATAAGTTGGGATACAGTGAACATAACAATGTGTTTCTGAGTAGATAACTTTATAATGTATGTGTTAGGAATATAATTCTAATGGTTGGGTTGGCAATATAAAAATCATGTAACAATGTTGTACCTGTTTCTTTAAATCATACTGTAAAATGTGATTGNTACCTTCCAGTCTCCTATCATTTTTGCTGCTCTCCGCACTCTTTCTAGAGTCTAAAGATCTTTTTATAATTTGGTGACTAAAACTGGATGCAATATGCCAAGTATGGTCTTACAAAGGCATTATAAAGTGATATTAACACTTCACATGATCTTAATTCTACCCCTCTCTTAATGTAGCCTAGGACTGTGTTCGGCTTTTTTGGCAGATGCACCACATACTGCTGGCTCATATTTAATTGTTCACTAGGACTCCCAGATCTCTCTCACATGTACTACTATTACCCAGATATCGTCTATTCTATATCCGTGCCTTTGTTTTTTCTTGCACACCTGGGGAACTTTACTTTTTTCACCATTCAATTTCATTTCGTTAGATAGAGCCCAGTGTTTCAGTCTGTCAAGGTCCTTTTGCTCCAATATGTATAACTTCCCCCACAAATGATTGCTAATAGTTCTTGCTGTTAGGGGACAGTATTATGTTCATTTTATTAATTGTATTTTTATTGGTCAATAACCAAAAGAAAGTTCTATTTGTCTAAGTAAATAGGCTTTTTTTAAAGTAAAGTATGCTTCTTCTAGCCATTGTGGCTATAGACAAATTAAATAAAATTTGCTTAGCATCAATATATATTTTCTAGTAAATTAGAAAGTACTATAAATAGAACAGGCTGATGGTACTTCAAACACAATGATTTTCAGCTGCCATCATTAGGATGTCCTCTCACTTTTTTAAAAAGTTCTGCATTCTTCAGGCAAATTCTCTCTCTGGCTTCTTCGTGAGTTTATTTATAATTCCATATCTGTCAGGAATCACTGATTGTTCACTCTGAAAGGGAGTGATCCTGGACATTTCCCTTCTTTGGTACCATTCCCTTCCTTGGTGCGTAGCAAATTTGGCACATTTGTTGCCCTGAAGCCAATTATTATTCTGTGTGATCCAACTCAAAGGTATCCTCATCTGGGAGTGTATCAGGGCATCAGCAAAAATCACCAGCCAGTGGAGAAGACATCCACCAGTGGGACAAAGCAGGTACAATGGATGGCCTTGATATTATTGCCCAATTCCACAATTTCTGCCTGGGCTTGTGTATGTAGTTGGTTCGCCCCTCCTCCCAACTCCATTGGGATGCCATCTCACAAGTTCAAAAGAGTGTGATGCAAAGAAGCACATGGGAACCCAAAAGGTCACAAATATGCAGAGAGTAAGGAGGCAGATCCTGGCTTCACTGTGCAGCCAGCTAAATCCTATAGAGCACGGGTGTCAAATTCATGACGTCATGTTGTCGTCATATGACATATCACAACTTTTTCCGCCTTCGCTAAACTGGGGTGGGAGTGGCCAGCACAGGATGCATCAGGCCTGTGGGCCGCGAGTTTGACACCCTTGCTATAGAGTATAACTGAAACTAATTGCTGGGCAGTAGAAGGTGATGAGGAGGGTGATCAAAATGGACAAATAAAGGAAAGTGGAAAATAAACAACAAAAACCTAGATTAACATCCCTCATTATATTCACGACAGTCCAAGGGATGCTGTATCTAAAGGCAATGATCTCCCCTAGTACCTGGTGCTAACACAGATACTGTTGGGTATATCCCTGTTCTTTTCCCAATATCAAGAATTTTCTCTCCTCTTTTCTTGGAAGCCTGGAAATAAACTTTCTGCAAAAACGGGGAGGGTGGGAAGTAAGAGTTAGAGGGAAAACTCGGCAAACATAGTGGTAATAGAACAACTGCTGGGGGAGAAACGGTGGCAATGGAGGTTGGCTAATTGGTCAAAGGAGTGGGGGTACGCCCACCCGTCTCAGTACTCCCCAAACATACCACTGTTTGTGGTCACAACAGGTGACTTGAATTCATCCGCAAGATAATTTCAATAGCACTTAGACTTGCTGTATTTTTTGGACTATAAGACACACCGGTATATAAGACGCACCAAGAGTTCGAAGAGGTAAGTAAAAAAAAAAAAGATTTTGTCCTTCCCGGCCCCCAGAAGCACTCTGCAGGCTTCAGCAGGGCTGGAAAAGGAAAACCCCCCCTGTTTTTGTGAAAAATGGGTGGAAAATGGACCATTTTTCGCAAAAACAGGGGCATGTTTGCCTTTCCCCAGCCTTGCTAAAGCCTGCAGAAAACTTCTGGGGCTGGGGGAAGACAAAAACACTTCCAGTTTTGTGAAAAATGGGTGGAAAATGGAC